TACATACTTACTTACTTACTTGTTTCACATTAGCGTTGAGTTTTTCAATAGTTTTAACACCATAAAAATCAAAATTGACAATAAGTATATATACACAAACTCATACATAGAATAATACAGAAAAACAAAGATTCCCTTCCTTTCTTTCTGGTAGTTATTCGTCTCACTCTGCCTTTTAGATTCGAACTTATGAGATTTACCATCTTTTGTTATTTCGGTCACATATCGTTATTGTTTATGGATTGTGATAATTCGATTTTGATTCTAAAATAATGAAAACTCCATTGTTGATGTTTGTAATTAATACACAATCTTCTTAATCAGGAAACAATTCATGAAAACCAAAATAATCCAGTAGCAATCGGGTCTCGCTAGATCACTTACGACTGAATAGTGAGTTCGGTCCTCCTGTGCTACATACTTTCGGCTATGTGCCACATCTGTGTTTAGAAAATCACCAAGTTGCAATATTTTAAGTTGATTTGCCGTAACTATATTTTAAAACAAACAACTCAGAAGAATCAACATTAAATTAAAAGAGCGTTATTCCTTCATTAATAAAATTTTAATAATGTTTCTTTCAACCTAATTTTAACAATGTTAAACAAAAAGAAAATTTAACAAAAAAAATTCGTTTTCAATGAGTAAGTTATGTGTATCAGAAGCAGTTTTCATCATCTGTAAAATCAATACCAATTAGTTTTTTAAAAAATTAAATTTAGATTACATTATCTGAATTCAGGACTCCATAATTTCTTCAGGAATACATTCTAATCTTCTTAGATTATTTTTCATTATTTTACTTCATTAACCAATTCATATTTCATTAAAAATAATAACATTTCTTCTTTTTAATTTAAAATAACTGTATATTTCTTATTTTTAATATCCAATAATTTCTGATCAATCGATTTTGGCATGTATTGTAAAGAATATTTCTGTAAATAAATAGTATAAGCAGATCTTTTTTCCTTCTGCCATCAACAAAAGGAAGGTGTGAAAAAATCCAATATTATTCTGCTTGTTCGTATATACGACAATTACGCTTTGTATCGAACTTAGGGACATAGTATGAAACTGATTACTGAGCCCCCTTCTGAACGGGAACCGTTTATGATTTTTGACCGAGAAATGTACATAATATTATTGAATGGAAAGGAAATAGGAAAAGAGAGGGAGAAGAGTGGGTCAGGGAGGAAAAAAGTGGGTGGTAAGTTAAATATTTACAAAAACAGAAATGGGATAAATATATAAACAAAGACATAGAGAGGCTTACCAGCTGAAATAAGCGAAATATTGAAATGCAGCTAGAGATAGGGTAAAAATTTCGATACATTAAAATTAAATTAAAAGATAGAGTGAAAGAAAGATAAACAAGACGATGCAGCAGAAAATATTTTTGCAAATATTATTCCATTTTCGTCTGAAATTAATCCAGTTGCACCAGAAGTCTTGAAAACAAATCATTTTTTTCTTTCAGTTTCATTCAAGTTAACGAGTTTAAATATTCATTTCGATTAATTTGCTGGAAACTTTTCAAAGATAAGGCTCATATTTTTTTAAAACCATTAAAAGATTGGAATCCTTTAATTTGTTGATTTCTCAAATAATTTCAACCATAGATTTTTTTTTAAAATTGCGATGTAATGGTCTTTTTCTTGAGAAAAGTAGACAACGATACTTCCTCTGGAACGACTTTATATTTAGTAGGAGTTTCATTTTAATGCACTTTCATTTAGCAAGGCTTTTCGAGAGCCTGTTTTATCGATTGAAATTCTGCAGAATTGCTATAATTAATAGCATCTCTTCATTGCACAATAAGTTGGTTGATGCTAGTATCCAGCCTTACTCCATTGTCTCTTGTATCCGTTAACGTTCCGGGAATTTTGAAAAGGACATTTTTCTTAAAATGCTATTTCCTTCAGAAATGTTCTTTTTCTCGTCTTCTCATTTATTACATTATTTTTCCGATGCATTTTGTAACAATGAGTAGTGATCAAGAAAAAGAGAGGAAATTAACATTATTAAAAGAAGCGAAAATATTTGGCAATCATAAGTAGAGTATTGCCATTAGTATAGCTTTGTCTCTACTCTACAAATTTCTATACTTAATACTGCAAAATTCTTTACATAGAGGAAGACATGAAAATAGTTATCCCAAAATTAGACAAGATATTAAACTTTGATATTTTTAGTTCATCATATTTCGCTTCCTTTTTTCTTTATTAATAAATAAGCATTATTTGGAGATGTTTGTCTTTTGCAGCTCTTGATGTCCGGGTCTGCAGCAACTTCCATATCTGGATCAACTTGCTGTGAGAACGGGCGCCCTCTAGTGACGGACCCTCATACCGGACAGACTGTGTGTTCGTGTCAGTACAGTTCACCACCCATTCTATCTTATCCACGCCTACCAGAAACCATGTATGGAACAACACCATATGCAACTCAAAGTTATGTACCTATTGGCACCGATACATCAGCATTCTACTCACCATTGGTAAGTTATAATTCCTTTATGTTTTCTTGTATCACAAGAAAGTTAAAAATTGGCAAAAGTTAAAATGCCAGAAAACTTCAAAACTCTATCAAACACTTTTTAAAAATCCTATTTAAAAACGCTGGTCAATATTTCTAATAGTATATAGTAATAGCATATTAAATTAAATATGGAGAACTTTAATTCAGTTGAATGGCGTATGTTGATCATCACGACACCCGTAACCCATTTGGACTCTTAGCATATCACATACAGACCTATCAGCAGCGGTTGAGTAAATTAGCCTGACGAAGCACATCCCTCCTCAGGCTGGTTATGAATCCAGATTTTTTTTCTCCTAGACTAGTGATTACCCAAGGCGAGAAAGAATAGACTGTCTTAATATTAACACTTACCCGGTGGGAGGGAGAAGAAATGGACTCATATTTTTGAAGGGTATTTGTACGATTTAGACCAACAAACACTACGCTACCCGAACATTCATTACATGTGTTGGTATTTAAAATAGATGAAATTTTGGCCCTTTTTTCAACACTCACTCTGAAAGTAAATAAATATTTATTAAAATAGAAATAAAAACAAAACGTTGTTATAATTCTTCTTGTCTGTTATTATTATATTCAATTATAGGTTTAATAAAAATATTGTTGACATTCGATAATTTATTAGTGATATTTTATTAATCGTCAAATCCTCGGATGAATAATTTGCGCGATAACAAATACAATTATGTATCAGTATTAACTGCAGTAAGCTTTACTTAAAACAGAATCATATTCCCGAAAGAAAAACCTGCACTTCCTCACCTGCTTTCAGTAAGTTATCGTTAATCAACCCAATAAGTAAAAGTCGGTCATTACATCTCAAAAACCCAAGTACAAAGCACTATCTATATTTATTACTAATAGTCGAAGAATGCATTTTTTATATCACCAATTTGATTTTGTTTAAAGTGATCAGTAGGAAAAATAAACTTTGAAATAACGAAGTTTAATATTTAAGTTGAGAATCCGAAATGCAATGGTTGTGCGCGTAGCGTAGCGGTCATCAGCGCTGAAAGTGTGATCATGAAGCCGAGTTCAAATTCGCACAAATAACCTTGGAGAAGTTATGGATCCCTCTCTTCTCCTCTCAGTTCTAGGTTAAATACCAAGGTAAACTTTAGTAACAACCATTCTCAGACAGAAATCTCAGAATTCAAAAAACGAGAAGACAACGAGAATCCACTCCTAGAAAGCAATTCACATATAATAAAGAAAAGGAACCTGAAAGGAGTTATGATCGACAACATCTCGAAGGGGCATGACATTTAAAAAATTCGAAGGTAAATCCTTAGATGGTCGACAACAGTAAGCTTATTTGATTTTATTCGATGTGGTAATAGCCGATTCCTTATAAGGAAACGTTCGGCATTCATTGACCAAGAAGGCAGTGCTACCATCGGTTGAAATTTATAGTTTTTCCCTTAAAACAGTTTTATTCACAAAATATGTTTCGAAATCCAGTAGCTGTTATTGCTCCTTGTAGGGGATTTACTTTCTGACCTTTTGTTTTAAAATAGTATGGAACGTTAATATCTTGATTATGTTATTATTTTCTCTTCTACGTATATGTGTCAACCATTTTAATTATTAATGTTGTTGAAGGTTCTCAAATGATGCGTTTCTGTTATTTAATATAGTTCTTTGTGATTCTGTAGAGCCAGCCTACGTGGTTCGAAAAAGGATAGTCTTCGCTAAGACCTAAAAGCTTCATTAGCTCGACGTCATTTTTAATCAATGATCTGAGAAATCGTTTGTATACAGTTGACAGTTTAGATATTTCTGGAACCAAGCATGGCATCCATATGAAATTCTCGATCTGACAAGGCTATTTAAGAACCTCACTCAAATTCTTGGTTTTGGTTTTGTAGCATCTTGCGGTGTTGAGAGAAACTACCTCTAGCGCAGCTTATTCTATGTTCAATTTCCTTTTCGCCTATACTAAATTCGTTCTAACTGATCTATACGCCTGGGTATTTTTAATGCTTAGTAACTACTAATTTCACATCTATAATTTTTATGATGGATTCAGGGTGCATTCCATCACTGCTTTCATTCCAATTCCACGTTATAGTTTGTTTTGGAAATGTTTATCTTTCAACACTTGGTAGAGGAGGTTGATTTTCAGTTATATTTTTTAGCCAATGCACTGGCAAACAGCTGAATTATAACAACTTGCACCTGATAATGATGCAGGTAAAATGATTGGCTCCCTGTACCGCTTTAGTAATTACCTGACTCCTCATGTTATCCTCTACCTTTATAAGAGCCAGATCTGAACTAAAATAGAGTACTGTTGACATATATGGGTGGGAGCTGTTGAGTCATCACTTTTCTGTCTTGATAGAGTTCAAAAGCATCTCCGGGTCCTTGTGGGAGAAGAATTATTTTCCACCCTCCTTCACAGGTGGGATGTGGCGAGAAGTAAGTTCCACTCGAGTAGCTTCTTCCGTGAACCACTGTCCTGTGGAACAGACTCCCAAGAGAATGTTTCCCCGATCAATACAATCTTAATCTGTTCAAGTCTAGAGTTAACCGTTATTTTCCCCTCCTATCCATATAAATTATCCCTTAATGTAAACTTCTACCTCGAGTGGCCTCTGGGCCTTCTAAATGATGAACCTTACTATAAAAATGTTTGTCCATATGTGTGAGACAGAATGTAATGGTGGATGAACTTGAGGATCTGTAAGTTATTGGCGAGTAGGACAAAGGTGCATTTGTACAGAATCACAAAAGACAGAAAGAGAGAATGGGAAAAAAGTAAATATGGATTGTGCGTAAATTGTATTCTTATTTTTAAGAATGTATTCAGAATAAGTTAGTGTTTAACTAAACTTTCATATAAAAATGATTTCACCCAGTATTGTGAAAGATATATGTATAAAATTAAATGTTTATGGCAAGCCTGCATCAAACAAGTAGACTGGGACCATTTAGTCAACTGAATAAGCCAATTTTGTTTCTCCGTGTTAGTTTTTAGTAGCAATGAAGATTTTTAATTAAGGTATCTACATTTTTAAGCCTAAAAACAAACCCAATGAAAGTAAAAACATTCGCTTTATTACAATATTCGCTTTATTGTGGTGGTGTGTAAAATCTCTGAGGCATGCCTGCGTGTGAGCAAGGAAAAATGTATGTGTGTCTGTTCGTGTCTGAGTATGTGCACATGCTTGAGGGAGGGACTGCATTTCATACAGTGCTTTCTCCTCTCAGAAAACTGGAGAAAGCAAATGTACATATTTGTAAGTATGATTGTAATCTATGCAATTTCTCTTTTTCAACTGTTGCGGCAAAGTTTATGTAAAAAAGGAAATATAGAAGATTTTCTATTTCTTAAAAAAGTATTCTCACTATTATTATTTTATACTTCACGCATTTGCGTTTTTCCAACAGTTACCGTTTAGGTAATCGTTAGAGATTAGTTACCAGCACGTTTCTCAGTTTCCTCCTAAATTCTGGTAATTGTCTGAACCATCATCGCACCCCCCCCAACACACACACACACGGAATATCTAACTCCTCTCGTTTCGAATCTATTGGTTTTTGTACGGTTCCAATCGCGTCACCTATTATGGTTCTCAGCTCGCAGGAGATGTCCTGATGTTTTTCTAACTTTTCACTTTCTCACATTCACCTTGTTTATGATTATCAAATCTGCTCTTCTTGTTTGGATAGGGGGCTCAGTCTACGTGTTAAAGTACCTCAATCTTTTTATTTTCTTGAACAATCCTCGCTTAATGTGCATACTATGTGTTTACATGGTCGAACTGAAATCATTTGCTAAATTCCCAGTAAACCAAAGTTCCTACCCTGTCAAACTTTCCTATTCTTTTAGATCCACTTTTCTGCTTTCATTAATAAAATAACTTACATGCCTAAATATTTACAATGCACAATTCTGAATAGATAATCATATTTATACGCTAAAAACAATCAAAATAAAGTTCACATAAATACTTTACTGTTTTTGGAATTTGTCTATTTTTGCTGTGAGTGGGCCTGATGAATTTGTTCCAGGTTACAAAATTTATAATTTTCCATTTAGATGACCTCTGCGTAGTAATTACTATGATTATTATTGTTAAAGCTGCTGAGAAAGCTTAATCGAACCTTGTACATTGGTTAGAAGCAGGTTAGCTTAGCTCAAGGAGAGGTGGAAAAGTTATTTGAGATGGATTGTTTTGTTTTGTTTTCTGATACTAATTTAAAGATCTCTTCTCACTTAGGTAGAATTCTGACTTTAACAGAGGAAAAACCTTAGTATAATCCCTATTCAGTTTGATCCCTGCTCTTCCAATCATAGTTATGTGGTCACACCTAATCCCCCTACAAGCATTTCCTTATTGATATACTGCTAAAGTAATCTTATAGAAATAGGGGGTAGGGAATCTCATATTGCCGAACAGCCTTTGTTACTCTATTTTTCTCAGTGTGAGCGTTACTCCTTCCACCGGAGCAAGTTTATCTCAGTGTCTGAGCCACCCGCTCATTGAGAAAGAACTTCTTTATTATGCGCTTTAAAACTTATTTCACAAAATCAAAATTTAAATCTGAGATGATTTTCCTAACGTTTTAATTTAATTCTCCCATTACAAGGTTAGAGGTTCAACCATAAATTCTTAATACAAAGAGGCTCTTAAACATTTGAGCAGTTCTTAAACATTTGAACGGTTCAGAGTTTTTTTCTCAGTATACAATAAACAGAGCTCTTAATAAAAGATTGGTTGGAAAACAATTTAAATGATCAAAAAGTGCGAAATTCATGAGCAGCGTGGTTTTAATAAACTCACACATCGGAAAATTTCCTCAAAAAAAAAAATTAAAACGTACCACACCTTCTATTAGTCCCCTAAGAATATATGCATATAATAAAACAATGGTGAAAATAGTCGTTAAAAATTGGGGACTTCGGAAAGTAATTAAGTTGTACAAGAAAGGGTATAAAAACAAAATTTA